GAGAGCTTATAAGGGTCATCTATACAGTGACTATACTAAAAACCAAAATGACCAATGTGAAGCAGAAATACAGTAAATAGTAGGTCAAAGTTAGGGGATTTGGGAGAGTGTTTATTTGAATGGGAAGGAACCTACCAGGAAGAAAACAAGTAAGTCAGATCTGCTTTGGCTACAAATATTGCACCCAGATTTTTACTTCACTTGCACGAAACAGAAGTTTTCTCAAAGTAGCTCTGGTTACAGAGAACTCAAAAAGAGGAGAATTTAGGGAGAGGAATAATGAGTAAAGGAACATTTTTGTAAAGGTGTAATAGAAGGTGCTTGCTGGGGTTGGTCTTTGCTCAAAATACAAATAGAATATTAAGTGCTCAAATTTGCATTACTTATTATTGCTGTTATGTAGAAGAATTTGTCTAAGAATTATGGAAATAAGCAAAATATTTCCAAGTCCATCACGCATCAACAGTCCTATCTTTTTAAAATTCAAATGCCACAAAGATGAAATGCTCTGATTATTTTACTATCACCAGGTTTCTGACAAATGAGATACAATGATTAAATTGTAGAAAGACAGGAAAGGTACTTTATATCTTTCTGCTTCTTCGGAGAAGTGCTATGAATCAGCTCAAGGATTAGCAACAGAAACTGTACTGCATTTATGCTTCCAAAAGCTTTATTTTGTGATTATTTTCATGTTAATTAGTTAGAAGTTTGTATAATTGAGTTCTCCCACCCCCATTACCATTGAAGATTGAACCCAGGGGACACTCTATCATTGAGAAAAATCCCCAGCCCTTTGTGATTTTTAAATTTTGAGACAGGCTTTCCATAAGAAGCTCAGGCTGGCCTTGAATTTGCTATCCTCCTGCATCAGCCTTCTGAGTAGCTGGGTTTATAGTCTTGGTTCACCATGATGGCAAAGATATTGTCTTTAAAATGTAATTATTCATGTTCATTTTGCATTTGACTTTTCCTCATAAAGGGAAAAATCCAAATAGACAATATAAATACCTGTCCTCAATGATGTTCGTATATGCCTTTTTTGTTGCTGTTGTTTTTAACTCAAGGACTAAAATTAACCCTCTCGAATATGATCTTGTGCTTTTGGATTCATTTCATTGTGTGATCCAGCACCTGCCTTTTGTTTTCAGCATTTTATTTGATTCCTTTGCTTTTTCTCTCAAGGAAAATGTCTTGGTTGGAAAAGTGTGGTTTGTTTTGAACAGATGTCTGTAGCGCTGCGGTCTGTACTCCCTTCGCGTCCCACCGCACCGCACGGATTCCCAGACTGTAGAGGTACTTTCTATTGGATCGAATTCCAGACAGACTGCGGCCCTCAGTCTAAGATCCAAAGGCTGCGGGTCTGAGGCCCAGCCTCCTAGCCCTTTGGAAAGCAGCAACTGAGTGTACCCAAGAGCAGGCAGCAGTGTCGCGTCGCGGCCTCAGCCGCACAGCCTCGAGCATCCATTCCTGATCGGTTTATCGGTGGCCTCAAGCTCGACCATGTCCTGGAGAGGCTTCAAAATTTCTCGATCTGGAGGTCCCGGGAAGGCTGTGCTCCTGGACCCGGAGGCGAAACTACGCTGTGGGCTTGTTTCGCAACGCTGGCTGGAAAAGCTGGGGCAGCAAAAGTCAGGGTGCAACCCCTCGGCTCTGACACCTGAACGCGAGCAACCGGGCGGCTCTAGGGCGACCGTGTGACCGGCCGCGGCCCGGCCGGGGGAGCCGAGCCTGCCCTCGGCAAGGTGGGAGGCAAACAAGGCCAGCGGAGCAGAGCTGGGAGAGCTGGTGCCCGCTCGGTCTCAGGCTTCTGGGCGCCCCCGGGGCTGGGTGAGGGCCTCGGAAGGGACGGGCTCGCTCCTCCTCCCCGCGCGAGGGGAGGGCGAACGTCGGACTGCCGGGATTCTCGGGGCTGGGGTGGGAAGGACCGGCCAAGCCTCAGCTGGGAGCAATCCTCCCTCTCCAAACGCCGCGATGGCCAAGTCCCTGGCGTGGCCGCCTGGCTCTGCGGCGCCTCTTTGCTGTAGGCAGAAAGCAGCTCCCTCTCTGTCTTCAAACCTTCTTATCTCAAGAATTGTAAAGAAAGAGTCCACCAGCGTGTGTGGCCCGGGGAAATCAGGGGTGCAGCCAGAGAAAACCGGTAAAGCAGGCGCGAGGGGCCCGGAAGCTGGCGCTTCTGTCTCCTCTTCCCCAGCTTTATTGATCTCAGGGTGGGGGTAGCGGTCTATATCTGGCTCCCAGATATACAGTACTGTGAAATCCTGTCTCTTGAGAGTGAAGGCCCCAAGCCTACAGCAGTGGCGCTGTGTTCAAAATGGGCGGGTACTCGCTGCGCGGAAACCAACTTCCCCGGAGAAGAGGCCCCGGAGCTTATTCTTGTTTTATGGATAGAGCCTCTGATTTCTCCCAGTAACTTCTTAGTAAGCAATCGTGTTTGTGGGGTGGGGGGGATGTGTGTGTTCCATATAAACTGTTTGGTTAAAAAAAAAGCAATTAGGCATTGTCACGTGTACTTGTTGATACACTATTTTTATGGAAAACAATGAGATTTCTGGATCCCCAAGTTGGGCCTATCAAGGGATATTCTTTCCAATCTTTCTCATTCAATTATAAAATAAAACTCGGACTTGAAGAGATCTGTTGGACATCTAGTCCAACTAAATAACACAGTGGACTACTTTGATGTTCTAAGTTGAATCTATGTGCATTTTCATTAAAAGCACTTGTATGTGTTGCCATTGCAGGTCATTTTCTCACAGAACTGTTTCCTCAAGGCAGGGTAGTTTTTATAAATCTCTAATCTTCCTAAACCAAATACTTTCTGAGAATATTAAGTATTCAACATGTGAATATAAATGAAATCACTCTTAGTTGTTACATTTCCTGGGGGCTCTAAACCTTCCTACCACAAGCAAAGGAAAAGGATTGGAGGAACAGGGAGGCAGGCTTCAAAGGCCAGATAAAAGTGAAGGACAAGGTAGTTCCTGGTGACATCAGTGAAAGTGCTCAGAAGCAATTTGCAAATCAAGTCTCCTTTGTGATAGACTTTACCTTTGGGCAGGAGGTAAAAATGACCTACAGCCTCGGCAAATTTTATTTATTTATTTATTGAGATGCAGGGATCCAGCCCAGGGGCTCACATACACACATACTCCACCACTAAGCTGCATACACAGGCCTCACATCCACCCAACCTGGCAATTCTTTCAAACATCAGTCCTGGTGTTTGTCTCTCTTTGGATATGTTCCTCTCTAGGTCTCCTTGCTTTTGCTATAGGTTAGTGTTTTGGTACCAGGGATGGAACAGAGGACCTCGAGCTTGCTAGGCTAGGCTGCTGAGCTCAATTCCAAGCCAATCTATAAATTAGTTTTAATGTAAGCCATTACACTTAATGTTTAAAAATTAGCTTTGTTGCAGGGCTCAGTTGCCCACCCCAGTGGTCCTGATACTCTGGAAGCTGAGGATTGCTGTGAGTTCCAGGCCAGCCTGGACTACATAAGTGGGATTCCCGTGTCAAATAACGACACCAAACCAAATCAAACCAAACAACAAAAACCAAAAAAACAAATAAAAAAACAGCTTTGTTAACCTTCAACACCTTATATGACCTTGGAATTACTGGTGTATTTAGCTAATCTCATATTTTTCACTGTAATTTTAAGATAACATAAACCGCAAAACTTTTTTTAAAAAACCCAAACTACTTGAGAAAGTGAGCTGCAAATATTTAAAAAGCACGCAGCTCAGCGATAGTGCCTCAGAGCAAGACCTTGGCGCTGGGGGGGGGGAGGGGAGGGGGGGGCTGTTTGCTTTGTTACTTTTCCAGCTCTTTGTGAAAATATTGTATCCTTTCTTTTCAGCCTTTGAATGTACTCTCCAGTCTCTTCTGTAAGTAAACATTTGAATATTCTACCGTGTTAATATGTAAAACTAACTGATACTGTTTTTAAGGGGTTAATCAGTTGCACACCTTGCATAAGGTTGCATTTAAAAGCGGACCACCACTGATACATTACAAAACATTGTAAATGACATACAGAACATCTTCCATTAACAGGTGAATGTTTTCTTTTCTTTCTTTCTTTCTTTCTTTTTTTTTTTTTTTGGTACAGGGGATTGAACTCCGGACCTTACACTTGCGAAGCAGGCAGCGGAACCATGTTTTGAAGAGTATACTTAACGGACAGGAATTCTTTCTTAGATGATAGTGCTAGAAAAATATACCTCAATCAGAACACAATAGTGAAAAGACAACATACTTCGTTTATATCTGTTTCTTAATTTCTGTATACCAATTTTAAGAAAAACAAGCCTCTTGTCTAATGCAGTACTTTAATATTAACAAAATTAGTTTTTAAGAACTCCAGGATTAAGCACTTACATTTCTGTACTACCTCATCTATTCTTTTGATGTCAAGTATTCATTCATACCAGTTTATAAGTAAATATGATTCAGAATGCCATCTCCATTTATACCACTAAGTGGAAAAATGCTGCTATTTATGATTCTTGACAACCTTGTTCTTTTATTTTAGCATCAATTTCCTCTCCTTTGTTACAATTTTTAATGGAGCCCTTACTGTTTTTTCCTTGACCTACTTTCTTTTGAACAGCTTTCATATATAGTATAGGCTGCTTTGGATGAAACAGATTAGTTGGTTATCACTCTAGAAATGTTTTTGTGGTTTAAAAATCGGCTGGTAAAACGTTCATAATATCATAGCATGTTTGAATTCTTTTTAAAATTATGCTTTACATGAGTTTGTTCCGTTCCTCAGACTAAGGATTAAACCTCATTTGCTCTGACCCAATTGCTATTTTTCTTTGTTGCCTCCACCCCCGTAGAGAATGTGTTTCCAAGGGAGAGGCGTTCTTGGTACTGAAGAGAGGAGAGTCAAGTAAGACGAGATCTGGTGCCTCACTTACTGGATTCCTCCTCTCCAGCCGGGTGAGAGAAGTCAGAGACAATTTTGACAGTTCAGACGGGCCTCAGTTCTCACACTTGTAGTCCATGGGTGGGTTTTTACCTCTTCCCTTGCCTCTGGCCTGCCTACTGGCCAGCCGTCAATGCAAGAATTGCTCCAGGACACCGAGAGCTCTCTCCCCGTGCCGCCCTCGTGGGAGTTTGGGGCTTGTGACCATAGAAGACTCCGGGGACTGGGAGAAACCTCGCCTGAACCGAGTCGCCAGTGAGGGCAGCCCCTCCCCAGGCTTTTCCCCGTCGCAGCGCCCACGTGACCGAGAGAAGGCCTACTCTGGCCCGCCCCTTTCGGCCGCCGCGGACCACTTCCCGCTCCGGGGTAAGTGAACCGCGGTTTTCCGCGCCGCCTCAGCCCCGCCCTTCTCCTTTCTGGCACGTGACCCCGCCGAACGTGGCATTGTGTTATCACGTGACCCAGGTGCGTACGCGACGGAGCGGGGTGTGAAGATGGCGGACGAGGAGGCCGAGCAGGAGAGGTTGAATCGCGGCGGAGGCGGTTGCGTCGCGGAGCTGCAGCGCCTGGGCGAGCGGCTCCAGGAGCTGGAGCGACAGCTGCGCGAGAGCCAGGTGTCGGCCGTGGAAGCGGCCACCGAGTACTGTCAGCAGCTGTGCCAGGTGAGGGCGCTCAGCGGTCCCCTCCCCCTTTCCTCAGCTCCGGGGGGACTAGGACGAGTGAGCGCCTGGCTGCTGAGCGGCGGTGGTCGCTGCCTTGGCATCGTCTGCGCCGCCGCCCGGACGGGAGCGGGGAGTATGAGGAAGGCGCCTTTGTGTGTGCGTCGCTGTAGTGGTGGTGGTTGTCTGCAGCTCCCGCTGGGGGAAGGGAGTTGTGGTCTGGGCGGAAAATTCCCCCTCTTCTTCCCCTCCCCGAAGTCGGGACTGCATGGTCCCCTGCGGCCGAGGTGTACACAGCTAGGATAGGAGAGGGTGCGAGGTGAATGGAGGCCAGGTTCTCTTCAGGTTCGTATTGTGCACAACGGATTGCCTTGCTCTGCTCCTGTGCTTCCCACTCCGACGGGCCTCCGCCCCCACTGGTTTGAGTCCTTTGCTTTTGCTTGCTTTCATCTGTCCCGCCCCCGGCCCCGTCCTCGCTGTCTCTGGGCCTTTGTTGTTCGAGTTTCGCCTAGCGACTGAAGGGGTCTTTGTTGATGTACAGTGGGCCAGTCGCTGCCGACCTCTTCTAGCTGGGCGAGGCGTTCGAGAAGGGGTGGAGGCAAACCTTGTCTGCTTCTTCCTTTGCTTGTTTGGTGCACTGCTTCCATCATAAAGGTTGCTCTCCTTGGTGGAGAAAGGCTGTCTGTACATCAGTCCCACGGTCTGTTGTGTGAACGACTTTTCTAGAGTCTGTTTCTTATTTGCATTCTTCCGAAGTGCAATTTCTTGCCTTTTCACCTCCACCTCACCCCGCATTTCTTGGAGTCTTCCCTATTTGGCCTCTTGGTGAAGAGAGAGGACAGAGGTTCCTGTAGATCTGTGCTTTTGTCATCTGAAGACTTTTCTTTCCTTTTCTTGCCCAAGGACACTGTTTACCAGTAACTACGTTCTAACCAGGTTTGGTTAAAATGTTGTTTTGCCCATGACAAAAATCAGAGTTTGTGTCTGCATTTGGACTAGATTGCCAGTTAAATTTGAATTTCCAGGGTGAGACTTCTGGCTCTAGTGAAGATTTCAGATTGAAAAGGAAAAAGGCACTATATAGGTCACATTTAAAGTTAACATCTGAGTGTACCATTTCGGAGGATTTGGTTTGGAAATACCGAACTTAATGTCCAACAATGGTGAATCATTTCAGAGTAGATTACAATTTTCACTTATGTTTAGCCTTCATATTCTGAAATATTTTCTTAAGATTGGAGAGTAGGGTACTTACTTGATCCCATTCAAAAAGGATTCCATTGCTGTGTGCACTTGATTGTCACAAATTATTTGATAGTGGTTCATTATTTTAAGTGGTGACTTGACTAGAGTATATGCAGTCAGAAAGTTACCTGCTTAAGGTAACAGGTCTTTAAAACTAGAGATGCTTTCCTTCCTTTGAATTGTAGCCTTAAAGAATTGTTGAAATTTGTCAGTTTCTCTATGCTGGAATACCTACTTTTCTTAATTGGTTTTTAGATAAGAAGATTATTTGAAATATTTTTAAAATTCAGTCAAATAGTTATAATGGGAAATCTTCGATGTAGAACTAGTGTATTAAGATTAGACTAGATAAGCAGGATTAATAATTGCGGTAAAATGAGTTCTCAATAAGCTGGACTTTTTTGGAAAGTGTGTGACATAATCATTGTAAGTGAATTAAATGGCATTTTAAAAAATGTAATTTTATGTATTTTATTACGTGATCAGTCTTACCACATATATATTGTTTTTATTGACTTGCTTACAAAAATATCAAACAGTAATAAATGCTGAATGGATTTCAAAAAGTGTAAAATATTTCATGCACTTTAATCCCAAAATAATTTGAATTCATTTAAGAGTGATTGCTATTTTATTAGGGTGTGTTTGATGTTTGAGTCTCTCTAGAAAATATTATATATCTTTAAAAAGGATCACATTCTAGTGATCTTGTCAAGTAGTTGATAACTTGAAAAATTTCTTTATAATTGTACCTTAACTGTTACTTTGCATTTTGATATGAAGCTAAGCAAAGCAATGGCTAACAATTGCAAAATTTATTTGGATAACCTAACTGTAGTGTTGGAAATACTAAGAGGTAGAAATTATGCCTTGATTTTCAATCTTGAGATTGTTTAACTTTCTCTACATTTTCTCTTTAAAACCGGAATATTTGCATACTTCAAGAAGGCGAAAACAAATACACTTGTTGCAATGAATGGCTTTCGGAGTCAGTAGTCTATCAGTGTTGCAGTTCTCCCTGTTGCATTTGTTTGTTTGTTTGTTTGTTTTTGGTACTGGTGATTGAACTCAGGACCTTGTGATTGGGAGGCAGGCGGAGACACCACTGAGCAAAATTCCTGACCCCCTGTTGCATTTTTTAAATTAGTTTTTTTCTTTAGTTTCAAAAATTGACACAAAATAATCACATACTTGTGGGATACAATGTGCTACTACATCAGATTGTATACAGTATCAAGCAATGTTAAAGTTAAGGTAAATAGTGTATCCATCACATCAAAAGAAGAATTACCATTTCTCTGTGGTGAGACCATTTGAAATCCCTTCTTCTAGCTCTTTGACATAGTTATTAACAGTGACATCTACTGTGTGCTCAAACATCTTATTCCTTCTAATTGTAACTGTGTACCATTGACTAACATCCTTTCATCTCATTTCTCCCTCTAATCCACGTCTCTGCTAACCAAAGTTTCTTAAGTATGAGTGGATCATGTAGTATCTGTCTTTGCACCTGGCTTACTTCACTGTACATAATTTCTTCCAGTTTTGGCTATGTTGTTGCAAATGACAGAATTTCATCCTTTTTATGGCCAGACAGTATTCTGTAGTTTATGTATACCCTGATTGATAGATACTTAGATTGATGCAAATCGTGCTGCACTAAATCCAAAATGCAGATATGGCTTCATAGTAATTGGGTATAGACTCAGTAGTGGAATTGCTGGATCATATGGTAGTCCTATTTTTTGTCTTTTTGATAACACCCATTAATTGAGATGAGGTGATATCTTTGTGTGTTTCTTTCCTTTTTGGTATTAAGGGTTGAACCAGGATCTTGTGAGTGTTAAGCACAGGCCCTAGCATTGAGCTGTTCCATCAGTTCCTTTTTTTTGGTGTGGTTTTGATTTGTGTTTTCTCGATAACTAGTAAAATTGAGCATTTTTCATATACCTATTGGCCATTTGTATGTCCTCTGAGAAAATTCATTAGTCTTTTGCCTATTTTTAATCAGTCATTTATACATTCTAGATGTTAAATCCTTGTCAGATACATAGTTACTAAATATTTTCTCCCATTCATTGGATTGTCATTTTACTGTGGACTTTGCTATGCAGGAGCTTTTAGTTTGATATAATCCTGTTTGTCTAATTTTGCAGTTTCTCTCATGCTTTTTAGAGTAATATCCAAAAAGTCTTTGCCCAGTTTAATGCTATTTACCATTTCCTTTATGTTTTCTTCTAATAGTTTCAAGTTTTATATTTGTCTTTAATTCATTTTGTGTTGTTCTGACTATAGTGAGAGATGGGTCCAATTTCATTTTTCTTAACATGATTGTCTAGTTTTTCTTGTGTGATTTATGAAAAAGACTGTATTTTCCCCAGTGTGTGTTCTTGACACCTTTCTGGAAAATCATTTGCCCACCAATGAGTGGATTAGGAATGAATTAGTTCACATTATGAATGTTTAACTCCACAAAGGATGGGTTGCAGAATACAATGAAACACATAAATTGAAGTTGCCTATGATCTTTGTAAATTTTTCTCTTTTTTAAGGATGTAAGGTAGTAACAGTTCTTGAGTTTGAGAAGTAGAATAGAAATGAAAGACATTAAATATTTTCCTTTTTTTCTGATTGGGTTGCTTCCTGGAAACAAGCCCCACTTTGCTTATTTAAATTAACATTTACATAATGCTTAAGTGGGCAGTGGAGAAGTGAAGAGTAACTATAGTAGGGGACTATGAGACTGTGTTTCTTGAGCCTTAAAAGTTATCTTTAATATGAGTAGTGTAGGTATCTTTTAATAATTTTATATAAGTTGACAGAATGGAAACAGAATATCTAGAAATAATTTCTTTGTTTCAAAGTCATTACTGTATTCACTGTATACCTATTATATATGGGCCAGACAACTATAATCAAAGTCCCTGGCTTCAAGGAGCTTACTGGAAGAAGATAAAAAATTAGAATAAAATGTGATTTGTATTTTTTATCTGTGAGATGAGTACAGTGTAATAGAAGGTTACATTTGGGAATTTAGAAATATTCCAACAGGAATTTTTAAAGGATTTAAAAATAATCATTTGTTAAAAAAAATTAAGCTATTGTAGTAGATGAAGAGTGATTTGTTAGGGTGTGATGTTTACTGACAGCATTACATACTGGGCCAGATGACTGGTTCATTGTGATTGTTACTGGTTATTTATCTTCAGGGTGGCCAACCTTGTTTGTCTTATCTGTTTTGTAGTCCTGGGGGATCAAAATCAGGGTATCAAACTTGCTAGGCAAGTGGTACCAATGAGCTACATACCTAGCCTGAAACCTGTGTTAAAGGGTTAAATTGTAATTGTGGAAGTGTTTGTGTGTGATAAAAATATGTATAACTTCTTATATATTTATAATTTCTTAGTTCTTCTTAACCAGGTATCTAGTTCCCTCTTTCAGCGCGTTTGGAAATATGTAGAATCAGTTTTTTGGTCATTGCAGTAACTGGGAATATAATACTCACATTCAGTGTCTGTAAACATTTAAGCATATATATAGAATTTATTGATCAGGAGAGTCTTGCTCATGGAAATTTGTCCTGCCTAATTAACTTCAGCGTCCTTTTGATAAAAACTATTGAACAAAAAGAAAAACTATATCAGAAAATGATTTTTTAGTTGTTATACTCTATCTTCAGATGCTTAATTGGATGAAATACAGTCAATTTGAAACAAATTCAGGTAAATAATTTAAACCACATTTCAGTATAATTAATA